CATCTAGATGACATATCACGGCATTTCGTGAGAATAGTAATGTTTGCGCACGTTTCTTGGGCCGTGACAGCTTTGCGAACACAATGCCCACCATAAATGCTTGAATTAATACGCCCAAAATACACTGAATGCATAACGTTAGTATCGCATCGGGACATTGATCCGTAACATAACGAACGCCATAACCTGAAGAAAACAAATAGATCAGTTTCGATTTCGAGAACAACTGACATTAACGTAGGTGTTTAAGATAGTTACCTATTGTGTATTGTGTTTCAACGGAAAATAAGAAAGTGGTCGTAACACTTTTGAGTTCTGCAACGCAAGGAATGAATGTTTTATTGACAGGTCTCATACCGGGCAGATCGTTGTGTGTATAGGCAATGAGCCACCAAATTCCAGCAAACACTGACCATGTACCAATGAAGCTCATGGCAAACGCAAATATCGTCCAACGCCATTTCACATCGACTAATGTCGTGAAAATATCCTTATGAAACGAGCACAACACAAATGGAATGAAAATACAAATTAATTGATAAATTCAACATTAAAATCATCGCTGACGATGAATATTGATTCCAATTTGGTCTTTATGAATATATTTTCGCTTGTTTTTATTCTTTTTCCCTGAAGGAAAAATGCAATTGCATTTTATTTCGGAATTATGATTAGTTTACCTGAAAATATCTTCTACGCAGCTTGGCCACGTTTCCCTGAACAACATTACTATCGCCATATTTGAATACGATACGCTTTCGTGCCCGTCGTGAAGAGAACAGTATTTGATGGTATCTGCAAAGTGATTTCTTTGAAAAGCTTCTTCCTTGCATCGGTGGAACAAATAGGAAAAATTGATTTGATATGTTTTCGCTATAAATTACCTAGTGGTTTGGCTGGATGACTCGGCAGCAGTTTTAATTGATGAACGGATTTGATTATGAATCGAGCCAATCCTGGAGTCGGATTTAATAAGGTCGATTAAGCTTTTGGGAGCATATACCTCACCATGATAAATCAGTTTGGACCACCCTAATGTGTATGGCACAATTTTGCATCCAACAGATACTGGCGCGTGTCTAGTGACACTGTCTACGTGCATATTTACATGTAAAAGAATGTTATTCACCAAATAAGATAAACAAAGATCGCTGAATTATTTTTTATACATATTCCACGAAAAGTGATTTGTTATCTGCAAAAAAAAGAAGAAAAAAGGAGAAAAGCCAATGTTTTTATTATTTTGATGATATTCACCACTCGGATAAACATGATGAAATTTTTCTTCGAAATGCATTGAAATCAAAAAATGAAATTTTGAAGTAGTCAAACAATAGTAAATGTCTATTTTTATTAAGACATTTTTAATACGTAGAATATACCAAAGGATCGAAAATAATATAGCAAATGATCGCAGCAAATGTGTTTGAATGTGTTGACTTCTATTTCATGCAGGTTTACTCAGCTGGTGATGATTCGCATGAGCACGAAGAAAGGCAAAGCAAAAACGATTTTTCGCATTACGAAATTCGCACACATTGAATGAATAAACAAATGACCGAATTTGATGTGGTCATCATGTGGTCGATGTTCGTATCGATGTATGAGTGCCTGTGATAACATGTGTTTGTAAACCAGTTTCCAAACAAATATTTCGCGCCGGTCAATGCTGCATTTGTGTTACAGTGAGTAGCAATACTACACTGTAGTATCACACAAGATACAACCACGGTGTTTCTGATCGTCCAATGTGATCCAGTGTTGTTCTTAGAATTGTAAAGAATTTCTTCACTTACGAACGAAAGAAAGATTCTGAACATCTCTTCTCAGTATGAGCAATACATTTTTTTTATTGATTTGATTTTCGAAAACACAGTAAAAAAAACGCAAGTGAAATTTATTTCGATTGTTTGTGTTATAGCCGCGAATTTGATTTGAATATTAAGAACATCGCTGTCTGAAGCGTATTTTGTTTACTTTATCAAGGTCAATTTGCAAATCCATATTGATACTGTCAAATGCAATTTAATCTATTCAACCAGTATCGAAAGGCTTTCCATGAAAGCAGACATATTTATCAATGTTCAAGCATTGGTCGACAACCAAAACGGAATTTTTGGTCGAAAAAGGATAAATTATCATAAAATAATTCAAAATGAATAACGATCAAACGAATGGTGATGCTAAACTATCGATAGCCAAAAATGTGGCCATTTGGACGGGTCTAATATACAGCGTTGGAATCGTAGTGTTTTTTGCAAATGTGTCTCCGAATGAAGACAATTTCCCTGGTGCAAAGTCTATTATGGTTAGATGCATGTATTTCACGCTTGGTAAGTTTTGAATTCGATCATTTATCGGATTCAATCGAAAATTAATTTTGAAATTATATATATTAATACAACAGAAAGACTTTCTGAGAAAGTTTTGGAAAAAAAATATATAATTTTCTATTTTGTAAACATAAAAGTTTTAAAATGGTTTGAATATATTCATTTGCATTGACAGTGTCCAATTGTGTCGCATTCGCATTGTGGATATTTGGATACATTCAAGTAAGTGTAATCGATACATTGAGAAATTTAGCTAAAAAAATAATGATCGGATCGATTTTAACTGTTAAGTTTGACCAAGAAAAAACGTTCAAAACAAAAATTGTTTTACCTTTTTCGTTGTAACAGAAAAGAACGCGACTCACGGCAGTAGCATTGATACTTTGGAATGTACCTTTAAATCTCTGGACAGGCTTTACGCTTTTCTCACTTACAATTATACTCGTGCTCGAGAGGAATTTTTCTATTTATGAAGGCAACTCTGATATTTTGATTGTTACTTTAACAGGTAGGAGTTCGAATTTTGGTCCAAAATCCTTTCGTAGAATCAAAGGATCACATCAAGTCTTTAAAAATTATAAATATATCAACATTCGTCGATACTTGTCAATATATCGCACATATCTATTTATCCGATATCTTTTTAGCACTTTTCGTGGCTCTTTACATTGCCTTGATCATAATTTATCGACGAAATAAAAGATCTGCCCATAAAAACACTGCGGACAATCCACAATTGCGTAAAATTCATGAAGAAAACAGTACATTTTATTGGAAATGCGTGGCAATAGCAGTCGATTGGCTGATAATGTCAGTCATAAACATATTTTTATTGGGTGTTTTTATATGGAAAGTAAATGGTCTAATTGAGTTCTTATTGTCACTCCTGGGGATGGGTAAGTTTGTTGTCGATGGCTGTTGTGTAATATTGGGTACTATTTGACATATTGATTTTTTTTCAAACTAAATGGATGGATTGATTCATCGTCGATGAATATGACTGAATGATTAGAATTTGGCCAACCATTCGAAATTACGTTGAATGATAGAAATAGATTTTTTTCTTTTTCAAAAAACCCGTAGAATTGAACACAACCAAATTATTCCGTTTTTTTTTTCTGCAGTTTTAAACTTTGGTTCCGCTGTACTTTGGCTGATTGGTGTGAACAAGGTAAATCCAACAAATTCGAAAATACTGTCTATTTTCTTTTTCAGAATCCTCCATCCGGGCTGAATTCAAAAAAGCTCTCAAAAATGAATTTGAGTTGAATGAAACAAAAACGAGAATCATAAACATTGTATTTTGTAGACGTATCCAAACTCATGATCTATACTGCAATGGTAATGCTAAAGAATTCAATCAATACAATTTTATTCTCGTTTCAATAGAACTCCACCCGATGTATGTTATTGCCGTTCGTACTTTGGGGTTTGATGCTAGCTATATGGATATTTATCATGTCAATGATTGTCATTCACCGTACGGAAACTAATACATGCGTGTTCATTGCCGCAACCAGTATGATTTGAATCACTTTTTAATTAGAAATAAATGCATATATCAAATTTTTACACTTTATCCATTTTCTCAATAATTTTTTGGTCTAGTTTTCTGGATAATTGTGTATTTCATCGCTGTGTTGAGCTTTGTAGCAGTTTTGAGAGCTGATCGAAAGCAAACAGTGCAGAATTCAAATAATTATGTTGAAATTGATGTTATCCCCGTTAAAATAATTTTGTTGAAATAAAGATTGACCTAAAGCAAATAGAAAATTCTACACCGAAATGTGTCAGCGATAGTAGTTGCATCGTTGATACGGGAATTTGTGTATGAAGATCGATCACTGATCTTGTGCACGTAAGTTCATTTAACGAGAAAAAATTTCATGGGGAATTCCAATCCATTCATCTCTCCGATCCTTACGCATCAACATTCTTATAAATTATCACAACGAGTGTGTTTTCCGTCGCCAAAATCGCATATATACTATGGATAATCAAATAACCTGTAAAAAGCATATAACATGTAAAAATTTGATGCGGTCATCATGCAACCGATGGTCGTATCAATGTATGAGTGCCTGTAATAACTCGTGTTTGTAAACCAGTTTCCAAACCAATATTTCACAGCGGTCATTGTGGCGATTGCATTGCAGTGTGTAGTATCACACAAGCTGCAGACGCAGCCACAGTGTTTCTGATCGTTCGATGTAAAATTCAATCTTGTTCTTGTTAGAATTGTGAAGAATTGGATTACTTAAGAGCGAAAGAAAGATCTTGAAACATTCCACCTCTTCTTCGTCTGAGTAATAGATTTTTTTATTGATTTTGAATTTTGAATACGCAGTGAAAAAACAAACGCAAATGAATTTTATTTTGATTGTTTGATCTGTCTTATAGCCGAGAATTTGTTTTGAATATTAAGAAAATCACTGTCTGAAGCGTGTATTTTGTTTACTTTGATTTCGAGGTCAATTAATATTTCATGTATACAATTCGTTGCAAATCGATGGCTGTAGCTGAGAATGTCAAATGCGATTTAATCAATCAAACAGAAAACCAGTATCGAAAGGCTTTCCATAAAAGCAGGCACATTTTATTGATGTTCAAGCATTGGTTAACAACCAAAACGGAATTTACATATATTGAAAAAGGATAAATTTTCATAGAAAATGAATAGTGACCAATCGAATGATGATTCCAAACGTTCGATAGCCGAAAATGTGGTCATTTGGACGGGTTTAATAAACAGCGTTGGACTTGTAGTGTTTTTTGCAAATGTGTCTCCGAAGGAAGACAATTTCACGGATGGATACATGTATTTTACGCTCGATAAGTTTTATATTCTGCAATTTATTGGATTCAATTGAAAAGTTATTTCGAATTTGTTGAAACAAAATTTTCGGAAGAAAAACACAATTTTATAGTTTATACACATAAAAGTTTTAAAAGCGTTAAAAAAAACATTCATTAACAGTTCTTAATTGTGTTGCATTCGCGTTGTGGTTACTGGGAATGCTTGAAGTAAGTGTAATTGAAATAATATCGATGTATAAAAATTAGCAAAGAAAGAATGGTGTCGAATGGATTTAATCTCTGAAGTTTGACCAAAAAAACAACGCTCAAAACAAAAATTGTTTCACTTTTTTTTCGTTGCAACAGAAAAGAACGCGAGCTATGGATTGTTCAATTAGCTTAATAGCTTGGGGAATTCTACTGAATCTTTGGACAGGCCTAGCTCTTTTATTCAGGTCCACGATATTGCTAGATAGAATGAAGAGAGTTTTAAAAGGAGATCATATTATGAAAACAACGCTGAAATTTGGAGTGTCCCGGTCACAGGTAGAATAAAATCGAATTTGAAGAAATGGAATGAATAATAACAACTAACAACGTTCACCGTCATTCGTCTCTATATCGCACATATTCAACAATTCAACGAATCAACAACAACACGTTTGAAATTCACATTTGATTTCTTGAAACTGTCGGAATAACACGCAATTTTTTATCGAAAGATAATTTTTCTGTTTTCATAATATAAGAGACTTTTATAGAAAAGATAAATCGAGACTTCTGTGTTTTCAAATGAAACGGTACTCTTGAACTTTTTAATTAGCTTCCGAGTTCGAAACAGATACATACATTGTGAAAAAGGACATAACTAGGATATTGGCATTGATTCGAAACAATTTTCAGGGATAATTTCAAGCTTTTATTCAAATTCGTGGCAAAAAATTTGCGATAATGGAACTAAAATATTGCCGTCGTTTCCATGAGAAAAAACAACAGTACAAAGTTAATGAATAGAAACCAAATACGATAACGGAAAAGTTTAAAAGATAACAAAACGTTTTGATAAGAAACCGGCAACTGTGTTTGAATATTTTGAAGACTTTGCTTTAAATCAAAATGGAAAGCGGTCGATGGAATCGTCGAAAACGTGTAATAGCGGGAAAAGTAGCAGCTTGTGTTGGGTTTATTTATAGTGTTGGGCTTGTAGTATTTTTTGGATCGATTTCCCAATTGAAAACAGAAGATGACCAAACGAGAAAAATTATGATGAGATCCATGTATTTCATAATTTGTAAGCTTAATTCGTTTTTGATTCATATGTTTATGTGTTGTGAACTTTTATCGGCATGTATTAATGTTGAAGTCTCTTTAAAAAATTACAGTCTTCAATTGGATAGGCATTTTTTCGTGTATCGTTAAAGTGAGTAATTCAAATTGCTTTATTTACTGTGTTTCCGTTTACTTTTTCTTTCACATCCATATCAGATTTGAGGTTCAATCAGTTTATCAACATCATTTTTGATTCACTCTCTCTCTCTCTCTCTCTTAGAACAAACGAGTATTCGTGGTGGCTTCGTTGATTTTTTGCAAATTCCTCTGGACATTTGTACGCCTTCATGAGAACGAGACAAATTACATTATGATTTTCATAATTACAAGTGGGTATCAGTTCAGGGAAAAAACAGCAAAAAGTGAATTCATTTTTTTCAACATTTCCTTATTCGTTTAGCACTGTGTGTGGCTCTTTGCGTTATTCTGATTATGAGCAATCGAATAATCAACAGATTAATTGAAAAAAATACGTTGGAAAGTTCACAATCAGTCGAATTGTATGGAGAAAGTAGGAAATGCGTTGCGATAGCACTCAATTGGCTGATGATAGCATTCATCAATGGGACGGTAATATTATTCATAGCTATAATCTATTTACCCGAATCATTTGCATTGATCGCTGTTTTAACGATTGGTAAGTCTTTCGCGGAGATTTTTGTCGGAATCGAAATCGCAGAGACTTTCCTCACAAATTAATAATAAAGAAAGTTTTTACAGCTCTGAACATTGCTATGACGATGGCTTGGCTACATAAAATAAACAATGTAAGTTGAATCGATTTTTTTCCGCAAAATTTGCAAGAAACGAAGTAAATATTTCAATTTGGCAAAATAATGTATATTTCGATTCAAATTGATCCGAAATCATCTCTCTCTCTCTCAATCAAACAGAACAACTCAGGACGTACGGCCACAGTGATTTGGTTCGGTTTGCTATTTGGTCTTTGGACGTTCCATTTATGCTGTACACAGAACGGATGGACAAATGCATACAGATTCACAGCATTGATAGGTATTCCACGAATGAACCATGAAAAGATATTTACAATTTCACCTCTAATATATTGTTGATTCGATAACACTTATTATTTGAAATCTTTTTTAATCGAAACAACTTGTAACCTTGTTATTTGGTTCTCAAAAATCGTTATTTTCTCATTGCCTCCATCAATTTTTCAGTATTTTGTGTGATTTCATACTTCGGCCTAACAAAGAGCTGTCTACCATTCAAGCGACGGAACCAAAAATGTACGATTTCACGGAGTCCGTCAGGATGGTACGTTGCATATAAAGCAACACATCGAAAGCAATCAAAATGAATGCTAATACCCAATATTTCTTCACTCAACGATACCCAGCAAAAGGCCCATTCAAAACAAATCGCAATTTAGTAGCAAATATAATTATTGGGCTCAGAAGTCACCGTTCTTCATGACATGAAGGAACAAAACACAAGAATGAGAGAAAAACGTTGATTTTCCGCTCGAAATGTGGAAACAGTCAATGACAGATAGGTGAGGATATATGCTGAGCATAGAAACTCAGCAAGCTGAGATTGGGATATTTTGACATTGTGACGTGCTATTCAAACAAATTTATGATGGAGAGGAGTTTGAAACACATTTCCATTACACTCCAAGGCTCCATCAACACTCTACCAAAATTCTACAAAAATTTGCACGAATAGCAAGTCACAAAATCCAAACGTCCCAATCTCAGCTTGCTGAGTTCATATATCCTCTAGCTATCTGTCATCGACTGTGTGGAAATGCGTTTTACACACGCAGCGACTGTGTGACTGAACCAGCCGTCGCCAAAACTCAAACGTATCGCTTTGCATTTTTAAAGCACGTAAAATTATGTGCGTTTGTCGTCAAGTCGCATTCTCTGTTTTTTATAAAGGTAATCTTTTTAAATAAGCGCCCCTCTCAAATACATCCATGTTGACAAAATGATTTGAAACACGTGCGTTTTTGTATGGATTTTTAGAGAAGAAAAAAACGCTAAATGGTTCGACGATTAAAATCTAAAATCACAAGCACAATCACATAATCACAACGAGTGCCGACGTTACGCAGCTTGCGTTGATAATCGTGTTTGTGTATACATGAATGTGCATGTGTATGTGAGTTCTTGAGCATATATGTTTTCTAAAAATAAACAAACAAGTAAACACATAATGCAAATGCCAATGCCAATGCCAACCGGCATAGAAAGTTGATTAGCACAAGCAGTATCACACAAGCGGCGAACGAATCAGTCGTTCTATCAGTTCTTTTACTTTTAATTTTCTTCCGTTTGATGAACGATTGTGAATTTTTTTTCGTTGAATTCGTTGAATTGGCCGAAAATTCTTTAAAAAAAAGGTCTGAACTGGTATAGTTGTTCTCAGTCAAAATTCGTGCAATTTTTCATATTAAAAATCATTTCAATTGGACAAATTGGTTGATTTAATTCTTTTCATTTGTTGAACAGTGAAAATTTCGCCCAAAAAAAAGCAACGGAATTTCTCTTTTATGCGTGTTATGCAACAACTCGCATCTAGTGATTGAGTGATCAAGTAAACTGGAGAGAGCTAGACTAAACCAGAGTGATTTTTGGCTGCGTTCCAAGATAATCTTATCAGAAATTCATTTCGTTCACGTGAACTACACACAATTGGCGTTTTTCATCTATATTTAAAACTGGGCCACAGCACGAACATCGAACCATTTCTTGTGTGAATTTTGGCAATTCGTGTTAGCTGACATAAGTGAGACGTTAAAATGGAAAACAGTCAATCTAAGGGTGTTTCAAGCCGAGGAATTTCAAAAATGGCCAATGTCTTGGGTATTGTGTACACCGTTAGCGTTATAGCAGCTATTGTAGTTCCCACTATGACAGCATATGCAGATGATGCGATTTTTATGAAATCATGGCTTCGATTCACATACATAACTTTCTGTAAGTTTTTCTGTTCGCATTATTTCGTGATTTTCTTTCGAGAAGATCATTTCATTGATCATTTTACATGCATGACCAATTGACCATTGACCAGTGCGATGAAATGCGCTAAACTGATTGTTTTTTTACTTTAAAAAAACTGGTGTTTGAAAACAATTCAATGAATTTTCGCTCAATTTTCAGTCCTTTACTTCGTTGGTCTTATTCTATGGATCTCTTCAATTTCGCTCGTAAGTAGGACGATTTTCGCTAGATGTGCACCATTGGAGAACTTTTCCAATCTACGTTTTTAAAGTTGAAGAATATCAACCGAATTTATGAAATCTCTTGCATTTTTACAGAGTGAATCTGGATTTATGGCGGCGTCGTTGATCTTCTACGGTCTCCCAATGGTTTACTGGATGAACGACATATTCTTTGGAATACTTTACTATCTTACCACGGGAATATCATATGGATATAAATATGATCCGTCTCTTCATCATATTGCAGTAGTTCTTACAGCAGGTACACGGTACAGCAAGTGATTCGAAAACTTTACAGTCTTTCCGAGACCATGTGCAGCGTTCATTGCTCATACTGTTGCGACATTGAACGTTTCTAATTGAACCAAATGAAGAAATGAACATTTCAAACACAAAACCTGTTCTCTAAAAAAACCATCACGAATAATTTGATCTGTCACGAATTTGGCTCCGAATTTTCGTTTCTCAATATTTCTAGTGTTCTTTATGGCTTTTTATTTCGTGCTACTGACGTGTTACAGTTCATTGAAGAATACATATACAAGAAACACATCTGAACAACAACAATTCGATGGCGGTTTTGACTGGACAGTCGCTGGATTTGCGGTTAGTTTGGTGATGTTTGCATTCATAGTTGGTGCAACACGGTTTTGTTCGGGATTGCCGTCGGGAATTGTGTATGCCGGTGTAATTGGCTTTGGTGGTGAGTTTAATGCTTTTCAAGGAAATGTGTTTCGGAAGTTTTTTTTTTAATGAAATTTGTATTTTCATCATTTCTAAAAAAAAATTTAAACTTATTTTCAGTCGTAAATATAGGGATGACGATCGTATGGTGGTTGGGTGTTGTAAATGTATGGGATAAATCAATTTTTAATGATTCTTAACAATGGAATTGATATTCCATTCAATTGAGATATCTAATAAATGAACGTTTCTTCGGTGTTTAATAGGCGGGAAGAAAACGAATGCTGACAAGCTTGATTTTTTGGTTTTTGTTTTTCTCACTTTTGATTATCCTTGAAATTTATGCGAGTTGCTCTTTGGAAGGCTTTTTGACAGGTGGCATCTATTTTACTGCAGGTAAAATCACCAAAGATTTCAATGATTGTGTAATAAGGTTAATTTAATTGATAAGGCTTAGAGTAATTAAAAAAAAAACACTTTATGTTAATTCATCATTTCAAAACAGAAAGCTCAAAACTTTCCATCAAACATTGAAAATGTTGACTTGAATAAAAAGCACATTTTCTTTTGGTTGTCTTTCCAGCATGCTATATATGCTATAAATTGTCCAAAATTCGGAGCTTTCCAAATCCGTGCTTTATCAAAACCATTCAATAATTTCAAATCATCTCTTTTCTTCCATCCAGGTTGCTTTGTGGCATTATACATCTTCGCCGTGATGACGTACATTTCGATAATGAAAGCGAAATTATTGGGAGTTAATAAGAGATTAAACCTAGAGTATAGTATGATATCAAATGGAAACAAAGAACTGCATGTTTAGTTTGAAGATCAACTGTGTTTCGTTTAAACACGGTTCATTGACAGACGTAATGAATCATTCAAAATTTCTTGTGAAAGAAATTAATGCCAATATTAAGTGTTGTTTTGTCGAAAATAACCTCACTTCGAGACAATAAATCGTTTTTAAGAGAATTCCAGTGAGTTTTACTTTCAATCGATTTGTAAATGTTTTTCTCTCTCTATCATAATAAAAAGCGCTCTTCAAGTATGGTAAAGTTTAATCGCCGAAAAGAATAATAGCAAGAACGCTTTTTCTGTGGTTTCAAAAAGCTTCTGGCGCCTGCTCTCTTAAAAGGATGTACCAAATACTAATAATTTTTCAAGTAACTAATTGTAAGCAGATTTCTATTTATTTGAAAACTGATTTTTAGTAAAGAAAATTAAATTAAGCCGGACTGTCCGTTCAGAGCCCTTGTAAGTAGCGATTGTTGCTAACGAACGCTTATCAAAAACGGAAAATGAGAATGTATGATGCAATTTTGCATTGTGGGCAATATTAAAGCTATCAATTGCATATTTTAAGTATTATATGAATAGTGATAAGCGGTGAACACAATCGGTTGTTGCAATGTGACACTTTGATGTCATTTGGGAGGTGTTTCAACGCTTGTATAAATTATAAATTGTAAGGTGAATTGCATTCAGTCTGTGATGAGACGGAGAAATGAATATTCAAATGAGCATTGTATCGAGAGACTGAAATTAGTTGGTTAATGCCGGGTGTGTTAATAGTTTGTTGTTTGTAGCAACAAACTCCTGCTCTCTCTTGAAGTGTTAAATTCTGTCATTTTTTTTCGTTTTACTTGGTTCCTTGTTGCCATTTTTGTGGCTTATTTTTGAAATGTAAGTTTTCTAAATTGTTTTTTCTTTTGTTTTGTGTCAATTGATCGTAAATTATAATTAAAATAAACATATTTTAATGAAATGAAGTGCATCAGTGACTCATCCAATTATCACATTATGTATAATTACATCCATCGTGTGTGCGTGCGATATTATGATGAAACAATTTTTTGGACAGAATCAATACACCGTACAAAATTGCAATCAACTTATTATTATTTATTGATTTTATCGTCTACTTTGATCATACATTGTAATATTCGGTGAGTGTCATTAAAAAAATATCCACACTCATCTAGTGCGTGAGACGCATGATCACTCATTTAGTGAGTGAGACGCATGCGGATGGGATGAAGCAAAGCGAAAGGGAAGCGCGCAACTAGAACATAGAGTCAATGGGTACTACGTGTTTGTGTTCGTGTCCGTATTCTAACGACGGAGTGACGAAATGTATGCGCACTATATCTTTCGTTCGTATGGAGTTGCCCGCTTCTCTTTCGCTTTTCATCTCATCCGCGTGCGTCTCACTCACTAAATGAGTGACCATGCGTCCAAACAAATCAATACTTGTTGTTGTTGTTGTCATGAATTTCGCAACAACAAGAAGTATTGATAGTTCCTTAATTTGCCGCAGATCCTATTTAGGCGCTACCGCTATTCACTGTCACGTCAAATACATTGGTTCTTATGGGAGAGAAGCACAGGTTGCATGCGTCTCACGCACTAGATGAGTTTGGATGTTTTTTAAGTGGCACTCATTGAATATTACAATGTATGACTTTGATAAGCCGACTTGAATTTACAAATTACAGTTGTAAAATGCAGGTTCCAATATTTGCAACAGTTTATGGGAGTGCTCAAGACTGGAGGATATTTTTTCATTGAATGCAAGTGATAAGCACATGATAAAATCTTTGATAAAACGTAGACTGCAATTTATATTATCAATACTTTCGAGAAATGACAATAAATAATATCCATTAACAAGCACCGGTAAATATACAGATGATAATTATTTTTTTATCAGTACAAAAAGTATGGACAACAATACGGTAGAGTTTAAGATTACGAATGGAATTCTCTCTATTTGCTCTAAGTTTCATCTGTCTCAGTTATAAAATCAGATTTTATAAGACAATCGCTTGCTTTCACCGTGTTATAATATTCATTGTGCTATCACTTCTATCTGATAAAATAATTTAGCTGATATCATGGTTTTGATTGTGTCGAGACTGCTTTAATGCAAAAAATGCAATTTGTTTCTCACTATTTTTTTCTTCTGTTTCTCGAACAAACAGTTGTGTACCGCCGAACACGTGAACATAACAATGACAACAATACAAGTTGAATCGACACCACTTGCTGAAAATGTAGGGCCAACCAGTGCGCCGAAACAACGGCACAGCAAACGACGAAGGTAGGCAACAAAAGGGTTACATTTATCAAAAACGTGCATCCAAAAAGCTGAAGCACAGTCTCTCCAATTCACGAGACTAGCTTGTGAGCTGAAACTATTAACTTCAAATGATTTTATTGGGCGATCATCAATTATCATCACCGTGAAAGACACACACCCACTTACTGTGTGTAAAAATTGATTTCACACGCATTTCGCTTTCTCTCTCATTTCAGATCATGTGTTCAATGGTGGAAAGTGTTGCCGACACCGTATAAATTCGTTCTAATCTTAGTCGGTTTGGGCGTGTTGTTGGTAGCGTATTTGTATGTGCAAAAATTATTGAATGATGGACAAATGTCAGATAAAGTCGTATCAAATCCAAAGTATCCATTGCCACTTTCGGCTTCGACATTGTATCAGTTCAAAAATTATGCCATATGCTCCGATTCAGAGCAATGTAGTCAAATCGGGAGGTTTGTCTTCTCCTCTCTGTTTTTCAATGCAATTTTTAATCTGTTTGTTTTCTCCCAGGGATTTTCTTGATCGAGATGGAAATATTTTTGATGCAGCCATTGCAACTCTGTTTTGCAACGGTGTTGCTACGTCTCAAAGTATGGGAATTGGCGGTGGATTCATCATGAATTTTTATATCCATTCGGAACAAAAAGCGTATACACTGAATTCCAAAGAAATGGCGCCGTTGGCCGCCACCGATGACATGTTCAAAACTCCCGATGAATACGTTACCGGGCCGAAAGCGATTGGTGTACCGGGTGAGGTCAAAGGATATTGGGAATTGTATCAGCGATTTGCATCGAAACGATTCAGTTGGAAAGAGCTTATTGAACCGACCATCAAAGTTTGTGAATCAGAAATTAAAGTATCGAAGCATTTGAGTAATTGTATTAAAGTTATGGCACCGAAAATTCTGAAAGAAGATCGATTGAAGTAAGCACCAAACCAACATAAAACAAATGAAATGAAACGACTTGCCGACAACGAGTCGTTAATCATTTCAACATATTTGTACATTTTGTGAATGTTTTCTCTCGTTAAAAGGAGGACTTTCTTCGTGAATGGAACAAATATACCGCGACGTCAGGGTGAACATGTGCAAATGGCGCCGGAATTATGCAAAACCTATAAGTTGATTGCCGAAAATGGCGGTGATGACTTTTACAATGGCACATTGGCTGCTTTAATCGTCGATGATTTGCGAGATCTCGGTAGCATTATTACAAAAGAAGATCTGGAATCGTTCAGGTGAAAGCACACTTCTATGCTAATAGTTTGTCTTTTCTTTCGTCTGCATATACAAATTGAATGAGGTAAAAGTCCTCTAGACGGGAGTTAGAATCTTAATTTAATATGGAGTAACGCTTCTGTGTCCCTCAATCGCTCCAAATATATTATTACTTCTGTTAGTAATAACTCAGAAGTACTTGAATTTTGACCAAAAATTCATTTCCGGTTTCATACTACGTCTATTCAAACTATTTGAGAACAATTTTTTACAATAAATCTGTGTATGTGACTTGAATTCAAGCCAAAAAAAAACTGACTGAATTTGAATTTTATTTGCAGATCAAGATGGGAGGCATCTTTATCAGTGCCTATAAATGATAATACATTGTATGTAACGCCATCAGCGGGTGGGCCACTTGTTGCATTTATACTCAACATTTTAAGCGGATACAACTTGACACGACACGCTATTGCGACCAAAGATGAAGAAATTCGTACACATCATCGGATCATTGAGTCCTTCAAATACGGTAATTGATGAATTCCCCCTCATTCCCTAATCTCCACTTTTTTTTAATAATCATGTCCTTTATAGCATTTGGATATCGAACACAATTGAACGACTCTGGGACAATATCGGAGGTGAGTTTAAACACAATTTAAGCCCGAAAACACATATTTCTGCTTATACTTTTGTACTGAATATTTTTTAACGGAAAGAATAAAATCAAATCAAAGCAACTTCATCTAAAAAAATATCACTTTCAGTTGGTGCATAAAATGTTATCAACCGAGTTTGCTGACCAAATCCGCGAGAAAATCGATGACACAGCCACGTCAGAAGATCCGAAGCATTACGGTGGCGATTTTCAGGTAATTGCGGACAAAGGAACATCGCATGTTTCGATTCTTGCACCGAACGGCGATGCAATTTCCGTTACATCGTCCATTAATGATTAGTAAGTATTGGAATTGAATTCTCCATGTTGCTGATTCAATTAGTCAAATAACGGGTCAATATTAAAATGCATCATATTTTTTTCGAACGCATTTCCATCGTACAGTTTCGGAGTAGGAAAAACGGGCAAACAAACTGGCATTATATTCAACAATGGGATGAACGATTTTGCTGTGAAAGCGTTAAAAAATATGTATGGTTTGCCAGCATCGCCTGGAAATTATATTGCACCACAAAAGCGTGCGATGTCTTCAATGAGTCCAACAATTTTGGCCGATGCTAACGGTGATGTGCGATTGGTGATTGGAGCTGCAGGTGGCACAAGAATTCCAACCGCCATTTCAACGGTAATCAATTCATTTGAACATTGTTTTACACAGACACAAGCGTTCGGATATGTGTTCTATGCATGTTATAGTATTTTTGAAACGCTGATACCATTTTGTAAAATCTTTAAACCGAAATGTAGGTCATTGCGCGATGGCTATGGCTTGGACAAAACATAAAGGAAGCCGTTGATGCACCACGATTACATCATCAACTAATGCCAATGGCAGTGCAATACGAATACGGCACTATACAGGTAAACGATGCTCGTTAACGCGCGCGCACTGACTTCAATCATTCACGTTGTTTTTCATTTATATATTTATTATTTTATGCGATATTATTTCAGAAATTATTGACTGGCCTGGAGTTACTGGGCCACCACGTAGTACATAATTCAGTTGATTTCTCAGTGGTTCGTGCGATTTCAAGGAATCAGACCGGAATTTTCGCCAATGCTGATTACCGGAAAGTCACCGAAGTGGTTGGATTATGAGTTATTAACAAATCAAAGCACACACCGATCATCATCATCAACAACAACAACAACAACGTTAGAATAAAATAACACGAATTCAATCAACCACATTCTTATCACATAAAATGAAAGAGTTTCACCCAGCTCAGCACAAAATTCCGTATCATTTGAAACTTTGGTTTAGTACTAATGTACTACTAGTTAACCGAACAATAGATGGCGAAGTCATATAACATATTTCAATTGTTCAATAAAAATATATTTTATGAGAAAATTAATTTATATTTTTCATCAGAATCTTCCGTGTGTGATTAAACTGAACATTGAATTATTAAAAAAATGAATAAATAAAAAAACAGAACATTTTTGACTATAATTTAGTACTAAGGCTAACAAAAATATTTATTTAAAAACGTCATTTTCGGAGTTTTTCATTGTTTTCACTTAAATGGTAAAAGATAGAGACGTGGTGTTTTCAGCAATGTTGTAGAGTTTGACAAGCTCTATAATTGTCACGAAGACACATATTCCTTATCTCTGATCAATTCGACGAAAACCGCGAAAAACTAATATTTCACGGTTTTTCGCGGTTTTTGGCGGTTTTTCTGGAATTGATAAGAGATAAGGAATATGTGTCTTCGGGACAATTATAGAACTTGTCAAACTCTATAACATTGCTGAAGATACTACGTCTCTATCTTCTACCATTTAAGTGAAAACAATGAAAAACTTCGAAAATGACGTTTTTAAATAAATATTTTTGTTAGCCTTATTTAGTACACTGATTTGACAATTAATGAAAATATTTCAAATTTGTATGGAAGTTACCCGTAAAACACTTCCGATTGGCTTCTAATCTTCCCTAATTTCGACGTCTGGCAAAAAAATGAGATCCTGAAAGTTTCATGCCGATCACATTTGCGGGAGTTTGGTTTCACCATTCGAAATTACGCTGAAAATGGCTCAAAATCGAGCATTTGAAGAATAATCGAAAAGAGGGCGAAAAATCCAGATTTTGGAACCCAGATCTGGCACTATGTTGGGTACCGTTGTAATCAGGAGACCCGTCTCGAGACGACTAGGCCGGTTATACCGCTGAACAAATTTTTTCGTGTCAAAAACTACAACAGTGATATCGATTTGGTATTTTAACCACCATTGATCATCGTTTTAGAAAAAAGTACGGATCAATTGAAATCTGTTTCAACACTACACGTTCCTTTTCTCTCTTTCATCATCAAACTAACAAATACATAATAATTTCAAATGAAATTCAACGAAAAAATATTAAATAAATTGGCCAAATTATTATTGTTCCAATTTTGTTAGTTTGATGAAGAAAGAGAGCAAAGGAACGTGTAGTGTTGAGAGAGTTTTCAATTGGTCCGTACTTTCTCTAAAACGATATTTATTTTTGTATATTTTTAAAATGATCCGTACCGAAAAAATAAACTAAATATGTTAACTGAAAAATACATTGTTACTCATAGGATATTACTATCGGTGCCAGGTGTCGCTAGTGGTATATGCTCTTGCAACAACAGTGTGATTCGATTGTCTCGTGTCATACACAAGCGCCATCTCAATGGCTTCGGGCTGAAACATATATCGATGGCTTTAAAAAAAAAGTTGATGTTTCTAAATAAAATGGCGTTGTTGGTTCAACATCTGCTGACACTTGCTTTGCCTGGGGTTATTGAGATGGCGCTTCGAGCGCATCTCTATATTAAAAAAAACTCACGAAAGTCTCGCTTGCATTCATAGCGATCTACTGTAGTAGCAATGTGTTTTATTAAATTCCCCCGTAATACAGATTCATCAACAGAGGTTTTCTCCACCCGAATCGCCGATCGCTGTGTGTACACAGAAGGAATGAACATGAAAAAAAGAATAATAAAAAATCGAGGGGAAAATCACTCAAAAGTAATTTCTATTTGACAAGTAATTTTTTGGGAATTGATTGAACAAAAAGTAATTTTGAAAGTAGTTTTTCGACTACAAATTACTTTTTATTCGATAAATTACTTTTCTGTTAGAAATTACTTGTCAAAAATATATTTTTCTATGATAAAAAGTAATTTGTAATTCTTTTAAAAAAAGTAATAGTGAAAGTAATTTGTAAAACGAAAGAGTTATTTTCTAGAGTGATTTTCCCCTCGTAATAAACACAGTGCGTCATATTTGATCTTCTGCAAAGGAAGATCTTAATTAAAATTGTCAATGTCACAATAGCAATGGAATTTCTCATTAAGTTAACCAAATGAGAAATGTTTTTATTGTTTGTCGCACGAATTTCTCAATTTTGTAAACATTGATGTAGGTCGATGGAAAGCTAATTGAAATTGTTAAAATATTTTCAGTCAAAATT